AACAGGTGTTAGCAGCTCTGTGTGTAAGGTGTGAGGGAAAAGGTGGTTAGTGAATTGGATTTTATTCTGAAGGTTGTGGGAGCCCCTGGAGGATATTAGGCAAGTGAGTTATGTGATCAGATTTGTGATGAAGAAAAATTCATTTGACAGTAGTGAAAGTGAATAGAGATGGTGGATCCAGAAGGCACATGAGAGACTGAGTGTGGAACTAACTAGAGTGAAAAGCCCCCAAAGATAGCAAAGCCACCCAGAAAGTTGAAAGGAATATACAAGAGGGGAAGTCATTGAGCCATAGGGGATGAGAGTGACATTGAGAAGTTATTAGAATATAGCGACAAGAAAGGCAACACCTTAATTTCCTACAGCTAGGGTTTAGGGAGGAGGAAGAACTTGTTTGAAGCAGAACTGGAAGAGGACAAAGTCATATCCTGCTCTAGGGTCTGGGGCATGACAGGAATGTTTTTCACTTGAAAAACTTGGGAAGTGGTATTAGAGTAGGAGACTAAGAGACAGGGCTGAGACCCCTTGCAGGGGCTTAAAGATCAGGTATAGGTGTTAAAATAAACAGCTCTTAAGCAGAAGCTAACTAGAGGGGCTGATAACAGGTAAGAACCCTTCAACGGGCTTGTCAGCTGTTTCTGCCACCTTACATGAACTTTGGCTAATTATAATGTCATTTATATTGTGGTTTTAAATTTTCTCCATCCTTGAAATCACCATGACAGTTTTGAGACAGCCACATAAAGTATGAAAATGGGAGGGAACACAATGCTAGAAATTTCTACCCAAATTCTTAGTAAAAGCCAACCCGTTGGCCATGATTATTCCTCCCCTCAATTAATGACTACAAAAAATCTAAAAGCATTTCCTCTCAGTGCAGCTGCTCTCTTTGGAGTCTGCCCACTCTCCTCCCTTAGAGTGTACTTTTGCTTTCAATAAAAAAAAAAAAAAAAAAAAAGCTGTCACTTGCTTACCTTACATGGTGTACATCCTAAAGTTCTTTTCCCCACAAACAATAAGAACTTGGAAAAACCTCCACTTGGAGGCAGCAACAGTATGTATCCTTAGGGGAGCTCACATTTAGTCAAGTCAAATTGAGAATAAAGTCGAAATAAAGCTTTTCAGAGAACCAGAGGAAAAGCTTGAGGGAGGGGAAGAAGTGGGAGACTGTGGCTGGTGATGAACTAATAATTTTGGAGGTGAAGAATTGGAGATGTTACGTGTGAGAACTTCAGGTGAATTGGGGATGTGAAGAGCCCTCAGGTGCAGGGGTTACCACTGTGGTTGGAGTGCTTTTGGTGGTGGTGGTGGCAATGAACAAAGTGAATATCTCATGTTATGAGCCTTTCAGTGATCATTTCAGCTCAGATTCCCATCTTTGCAACTGCAAAAGGAGGACAGTTAGAAGCAGAATTATTTATAACAGCCTGACAATGGAAACAATCCAAATGTCCATCAACTGATGAATAAATAATTAAAATGTCCATACAATGAAATATCATTTAGCAATAAAAAGGCAGGCAGTGTTGATATACCCTATAATATAGATGAATCTTGTACACATTAGGCTAAATGAAAGAAGCCAGTCACTAAAGGCCTTGCCATATATTGTATGATTCCAGTTTTATTAAATATCTAGGAAAATTCTGTAGAGTCTGCAAGTAGGTTCATATTGCCTAGGGCTGGGTGGGGCTAGGGTTGGAGGAATGGGCAGTGACTGCTAATGGGTTTGGAACTTCTTTTTGAGCTGATGAAAATGACTTACAATTAATTGTGACGATGGTTGTACAACTCTACGAATATACTCAAAACCAGTTGTATACTTTAAATGGGTAAATTTTATGGTACAAGAATTATGTCTCAAGTGAAAATAAAGACGACTCCTATTCTAATCAAACAAAACATGGATGTGAGAATGCTTTGGAGTCCAAAAAGCACAAAATACATGAGATTACTAAGACAAGTGTGGAGACACCTTCTTTGAGGGTTTAAAGGAAAGGATTACTATGTGAGGCTAGTAATAACTGACTTAATGAAGGCATGGGGGTCAGACAATATGGCTTCAAGAAACTTTTACAATCGTAATTCTATGAAAGGATATTCATATACATTTATTCCACTTTTCGTCAGACTTCCCTAGAAAATTCAGTTTCATGCACAAGAGGGCGCTGTCCACCAAATAACAAGTTGTTCGTGGCTGCCAGAAATTTTGCATATGTAATCTCAGCAGGAAAAAACAAAGTAACACCAAGAAAAAAACAAAAACAACAACAAAAAAAACTAAACCAATTTTAAGAATCCTTTGCCGGGCGCGTTGGCTCACGCCTGTAATCCTAGCACTCTGGGAGGCCAAGGCGGGAGGATAAGCTTGAGCTGAAGAGTTGGAGACCAGCATGAGCAAGAGTGAGATCACGTCTCTACTAAAAATAGAAAAATTAGCAGGGCGTCAAGGCATCCACCTGTAGTCCCAGCTACTCGTGAAGCTGAGGCAGAAGGATCTGGATCGCTTGAGCCCAAGATTTTGAGGTTTCAGAGAGTTATGATGATGCCACTGCACTCTACCTGGGATGACAGTGAGACTGTCTCAAAAAAAAAAAAAAGAGTCCATTAATATATATGAACTAACATATATGAATTTGCTTATGACTGCATGGCATCTCTCTGGAAGAACACATAATATGGATATGGGGAGGAGAAAAATGTTTTGCTGTACACTATTTTGTTTTTTATATTTTGAATCATGCAATTGTATTATTTATATAAAACATTACATAAAAAAGTACCTTATAAGGGAAATTATTATGTTGTAATCTTATTCAGACTAATATATGAAATTAAGAAAAGGGATGTGGAGAATATATACAAAATATAAAGAAATTATTCAAATCTGTTAAAAATTATTGTCAATTCATACCAATAGGTTTTCTTTTCTTTCTTTTTTTTTTTTTTAACTTATTCTTCTAATGAATTCAAGGATTTCTCCATGTATTATATATGTATTTTTTTCTTCTCTTTCTTTCCAGGTATAAGAAAGATAACTTCAATTGTTTTTCAACTTTTAATCAAACTCTTCAATAGAAAGATTGAAAAAAATCATGCAATAAAAATTTACCACCTTGACTGAACAGTTATTAATATTTTGTTTTATTTGTTTAAATGTGTCTCTGTACATATATATGTGTGTGCATTTTTCAGATATTTTTCAGATGTTTCCTAACACTAAGTATTTCAGCATGCATCTATATGATGGAGGATATTCAACAATATTGTCATAATACTATTATAACTGAAAATTGAGTAATTCTTTAATATCATTTATTATCTAGTTCATATTTTTAAATGTCCTATTTGTGCCTAGAATGTCTTAAATCACTTTTTTCTCCATAGAGGTTTACTTGAGTATTGTGGTTGCCGTGCTCCTTTTGTCTCTTCTATTCTGGCACATTCTATTTGTTTTAAAGAATGACTTCAACTTTTTGCAGAAGCTTAGCAAATATAGAGCATTCTTACATGAAATGCTCTATATTTTGTGTGATTGTTTCCTAATGGTGTTAGTTGAATTGTTCCTTGTCTTCAGGGCAAGAATTTTTGGCAATAGTTCATTTTTAATCTTTTCATTATGAAATAAAACACAGAGTGTAGTGCCCAAAACAAAAATATGCAGCACAGTGAATTATTGCAAAATGTATATACCTATGTAACTACCACCCAAGTCAATGAGCAGAACGTTGCCAGCACCCCCCAAAACACATGTACCCTTCCTCCAGCTCCCTCTCTTCCCATCCAACAAAATCAACATCCTCATTTTTATGGAAATTAATTCCTTACTTCCTTTTTAGTTTTATCACATATGCATGTATTAAACGCCATGGTTTAGTTTTCAAACTCTTTTGTTTTTCAATTTTATGTGTGTAAAGTCATATATGTTGAATATTCTTTTGCATCTAGCTTTTTTTAATCAACGTTGTATTTGTGAGATTCATCTATGTGTTGAATGGCCATAGTTTATTCATTTACATATTTAAATTGTAAGAATAAAAAACAATTCATTTATCCTTTCTACTATTGATGGGCATTTGGGTTAGTTTTGCACATTTGGCGTTTATAAATAATACTACCATGAACATTCTTATCTCTGTCTCTTGGAACACATGTGCATGCATTTCAGTTGTGTCTAACTCAGGAATGTAACTGTTAGGTCATAAGGTTTTCATATGTGATCCTTTGTAAATAATGAGTCTTTCAAAGTGGTTGTATTAATTTGAACTCCCACTAGCCCTGCATGAAAATAGTCATTGCTACATATCCTTGGCAACACTTGGTATTGGCCATCCTTTTAAATTTTAATCATTTGGGTAGATGTGCAGTAGTATAACGTTTTTATTTTCATTTTACCATTACTAGGAAGGTTGAACCATTTCATATATTTGATTCTTTTTATATGTTTGTGAAAATTCTGTTCATTTCTCACTTCCTGCCCATTTTTGGATTACTGTATTTTTCTTACTGATCTATGAGTTCTAATCAGATTCTGAATCCTTTGTCAGTTATCCCACAGCGTGCCTTGCTGTTGGTTCTCTTAGTGGTATCTATTGATGCACAAGTGTTCTTTTTTTTTTTTTTTTTTGAGACAGAGTGTCGCTTTGTTGCCCAGGCTAGAGTGAGTGCTTGTGGCGTCAGCCTAGCTCACAGCAACCTCAAACTCCTGGGCTCAGGCAATCCTCCTGCCTCAGCCTCCCGAGTAGCTGGGACTATAGGCATGTGCCACCATGCCCGGCTAATTTTTTCTATATATGTATTAGTTGTCCAATTAATTTCTTTCTATTTATAGTAGAGACGGGGTCTCTCTCTTGCTCAAGCTGGTTTCGAACTCCTGATCTTGAGCAATCCGCCCGCCTCGGCCTCCCGGAGTGCTAGGATTACAGGCATGAGCCACCGCGCCCAGCCTGCACAGATGTTCTTAATTTTGATATACAATTTATCAAAATTTTTGGCTAATTTTTTCATCCTCCTTGAGAAACTTCCTCTTATTTCAAATCATGACAAAATTATCCTGTATAGACTTTGTTATTGCTTTGCCTTTCACAGGTATATCTACAGTTCACTAGGAATTGGTACTTGTTCGTGATGTGAGCTAGAGGCCAATTTTCTTTTTTTTATTTATGTGGCTATCCATGTGGTCCACCACCATTTATTGAAAAGAACATCGTTTCTCCACTGCTCTGTGGAGGTACCTTGTCACAAATCAAGTGTTCATATATGGTTCTGTTTCTGTGCTTTCCTTTCTGTTCCATCGATGTATTTTCCTTTCCGTGGACCAATATCACGTTGCATTAATTGCTATGTCTTTATAATAAATCATAAATCTTGTACTTCTTCCACATTTTTCTTTTCCAAGGATATTCTGGCTATTCTTGGGTCTTTGCACTTCTATAAATACTTAAAAATCAGCATCTAAGGTTCATTTAAAACAAAAATTAAAAAACCAGCTGAGCAGAGGCAGCCGAGAGCCATGGCGGTGGTGGTGGTGGCGGTGGCAGTACAGACCCGGATCCTGCAGTCCCAACTGCAGAGCTCCTCATGAAGGGAAATTTGGTGAATCCAAAAGCGACAAATGGATTGATAGCCACAATCCGGCCACCAATGAGGTAATCCGTCACTCCCCTCAGGCCACCAAGGCTGAAATGGATGCAGCTGTCGCTTCCTGCAAACGTGCTTTTCCTACATGGGCAGACACTTCAGTATTAAGCCATCAGCAGGTCATGCTCCGCTATCAACAACTTATTAAAGAAAACTTGAAAGAAATTGTGAAGTTAATCACATTGGAATAAGGGAAGACCCTAGCTGATGCTGAAGGAGATATATTTGGGGACTTTCATAAGCTGGGAGTCCCTCATGGGACTTTTGGGAAGGAAGATGGGAGGCAAATATCCCAGTATCGGGAGTTCGCTTCATTCTTTATGTAGATTTTGCCATCCCATGATATCTTTTTAATATTTATGGAAAATGGTAACACTTCTCAGAGGTGGTTGAGCACGCCTATAGTGTGACATCTCTCATGCTGGGAGAGACCATGCCATCCATCACCAAAGACATGGACCTTTATTCCTACCGTCTGCCTCTGGGAGTGTGTGCGGGCATTGCTCCATTCAATTTTCCTGCCATGATTCCTCTTTGGATGTTTCCCATGGCCATGGTGTGTGGAAATACCTTCCTAATGAAACCATCAGAAAGAGTCCCTGGAGCAACTATGCTTCTTGCTAAGTTGCTCTAGGATTCTGGTGCCCCTAATGGAACACTGAACATCATTCATGGACAACATGAAGCTGTAAATTTTATTTGTGATCATCCAAACATCAAAGCAATCAGCTTTGTGGGATCCAACCAGGCAGGAAAGTACATCTTCGAGAGAGGATCAAGACACGGCAAGAGGGTTCAAGCCAACATGGGAGCCAAGAATCATGGAGCAGTCATGCCAGGTGCCAATAAGGAAAATCCCTGGAACCAGCTGGTTGGGGCAGCATTTGGAGCTGCTAATTAGTACTGCATGGCTCTTTCCACAGCAATCTTTGTGGGGGAAGCTAAAAAGTGGCTGCCAGAACTAGTGGATCGTGCCAAAAACCTGAGAGTCAATGCAGGAGACCAGCCTGGAGCTGATCTTGGCCTTGGATCACTCTCCAGGCCAAAGAATGAGTCTGTCATCTAATTGATAGTGGAACAAAGGAGGGAGCTTCCATCCTTCTTACTGGGTGAAAAATTAAAAGGCTATGAAAATGGCAACTTTATTGGATCAACCAGCATCTCAAATGTTAAGCCAAATATGACCTGTTACAAAGAGGAGATTTTTGGTCCAGTTCTTGTGGTTCTGGAGACAGAAACATTGGATGAAGCCATCAAGATTGTAAATGACAACCCATATGGAAATGGAACTTCCATCTTCACCACACTGCTCGGAAATATTCCCACCTGGTGGATGTTGGACAAGTGGGAGTGAATGTCCCCATTCCAGTGCCTTTGCCAATGTTCTCATTCACTGGCTCTCGATCTTCCTTCAGGGGAGACACCAATTTCTATGGCAAACAGGGCATCCATTTCTACACTCAGTTAAAAAACATCACTTCTCAGTGGAAAGAAGATGATGCTACTCTTTCCTCACCTGCTGTAGCCATGCCTACCATGGGCCGTTAGAAACAAGTTTGTTTAAGACTCAGTCCGTCCTGAATAATCTCGCTTTATTTTTGACCAGCTTCATTTGCCAACTTTGCTCATATTGGATCCCTGGGATTGGAATACATTGTAACTAAAATCTTTCTCAGGACTATTAGTCCCTGCAAAGTTGCTATAGGAAGACTCTTAGTGTAACATTGAAACCAGATTTTTTCACTTGCTCTTCATACTTAACATTTTTGAGGTAATTGTGACTGTGAAATGCTTCTTTGGAATAAGAGCTTAAACGTGTTTTCTAAAAATTCTTCCCTTTTCTGATGACTTAAAGGAGGGGAAGGTGACTATATGTAAAGAAGATCTTCCAATAATTGGAAGATGAACTCTTTGATGAGAAAGCAGGACAGAAATAATTCACCCTCCTCTGGTTGATCCTCAGACATAGCCCTACATAAATGCCAATGGGAAAGACCCTCTGCAAAGTTTTCCTGAGCCTGTCTTTTATCCTACGCTACACAAGATATTATACATTTCTATTTATCCCAAAACTGTGACAACCACTTCTTTCTTTTCTGCTCAGTGCCAGTTTGTTGTCCTAGTAAATCATGACCACCATTTAATTCTATCATTGTTACTGTTCCTGCTTCTGAAGATCACATCTCAATGATACCTCAGTAGGCAATGAATAAATCAACTTTTTGTTGAAAAAAAAAAACTTCTGGAGGCCGGGCGCTGTGGCTCACGCCTGTAATCCTAGCTCTTGGGAGGCCGAGGCGGGCGGATTGCTCAAGGTCAGGAGTTCAAAACCAGCCTGAGCAAGAGCGAGACCCCGTCTCTACTATAAATAGAAAGAAATTAATTGGCCAACTGATATATATATAAAAAAATTAGCCGGGCATGGTAGCGCATGCCTGTAGTCCCAGCTACCCGGGAGGCTGAGGCAGAAGGATCACTTGAGCCCAGGAGTTTGAGGTTGCTGTGAGCTAGGCTGATGCCACGGCACTCACTCTAGCCTGGGCAACAAAACGAGACTCTGTCTCAAAAAAAAAAAAACTTCTGGGATTTTGAATATTATATTGAATTTAAAGATCAATTTGGGGGAAAAGTGCCGTCTTCACAGCATTGAATTACCCCATCCATGTACATCCATACAACACATTTTTAATTATTTCAATTATTTTTTAAATAAAAAATATTATTTTCTTTGTTTATTCTTAATGTTTCATAGTAGAGATTTCACCCTTTGTTGGTTCCCTTAACCCCACCTATACAATAATCCCTACATTCAACTCTCTTCAATTATGCCCTGTGAGTGTGCCGTATTTTCCTGCCGGGAAAGGGGTACACAGACAAATTAGATGAAATACAAACATAGCCATAACCTCAGAATGAGTAAAGTTTATGGAGATAAGGTCATTAAAGAGGTAATTCGGTAAAATGAGTCATATAGATGGAGCCTAATCTGACTGGGGCTTTCCAATAAGAGAGAGAGAGAGACCAGGGGTGTGCACACAAGAGGAAAAGACAGGTGAGGGCAATGAAGATGGCCATCTACAAGTCAAGAAGCCTCAGAAGAAACCAAACCAGCCAACCTTGATCTTTAACTTCTGGACTCCTGAACTGTGAGAAAGAAATGTCTCTTGTCTAAGCCCCCCTATCTGTGGTATACTCTGTGATAACTAATACACCATCACAGCAGCCAAATATGAAAAGTATGTGAGGAGAGTGACCAATTTTGACACATTTAGAGGAAGGAGCTAGCACCTCTGGTTGGCAGAATCAGGAAAAATCCCTGTGGAGTTGTTTAACCACTTCCGTACGGTGGTCACCGGCGACAAAACCTTGCCCACAGCCGGCACTCACAGTGCGCATGATGGTTTGTGCTGTGCATTGACGACGAGTCCGTTTTGCTCTTGTGTGATGAGGAAAGCTTGAGAGCACTGAAAGCTTGTTTTACTTTACAGGCAGCTTTACTTGTAACATAAATCAGAACACATATAGGTATTGGGGTAACATATATACGTATATGTTTTCATTATGTTATGTTTTCATTATGTTATGTTATTTTTAAATGTTCACAATTTTATTTTGATAAATGAAAAGTCACATCACGGCTGTCGACTAAAGTCGCTGTGCGCGTTCATCTGTGGCTGTCGACTATCGTCAACACTGGTACCGAAGTGGTTTAAGTGAGGGTTGGAGAAAATAACTGTACCTACCTGACAGTATTATGAGTACTGAGTAAGAATATCCTTATACTCAGTAATTTAAAACCTGTTGAATAGCTTTGTAAGAACACACAGCTAAACGCATAGACCTAGATTTAAAACTGTCTCCTGACTTCTTGTGGCCTACTCTTTTCATGTTTTGGATTATTGTTCCGGCATTTTAACGTCCTCATTCTCAATTCACTCAAGCTCTATCTGGTTCTTAAGGCCTTCCATCCTTGGCCTCACCTCTTGACTCTTAACTCTGCCTTTGTGATAGCCTCTAAGATGGCTCCGGTGATCTTCACTTCCTGTCATCCATGCCTGGGTAAGTCTCCTCCTACAACGAATCAGGGAGTGGACTGTACAACCCTTTACAGCGCAGCAGAGATAACAATGTGTAACCTCTAAGGCTAAGTCATAAAATGTCACTACACCTTTGATTCATCTCTTGGATCACCGCCTTTAGAGGAAGTCAGCTGACACGTAATAAGGATACTCAAGTGCTTCTGGGAAGAAGCCCACATGAAGAGGAACAGAGGCCCCCACCAACAGGCAGCACCAACTTGCCAGCCAAGTCAGTGAACCACCTTGGAGCAGATCCTTCAGCCCTAGCTGACTGCAGTCTCAGCTGATTTGACTGTAATTCCATTAAAGACTATGGGCGGCAACTGTCTAGCCAAGATACTCCTGAATTTCTGACTATGAAACCTATGAGAATAGATGATTTATTATTTTAAGTCATTACACTCTGGTCTGTTACGCATTAGATAACTAATATTCATAACCTTCCCAATACACATTTATCCATATTCTTTTATTTTTATTCTCTTCTCATGAAACAATAAGCTAATAATAAATTTATATTGTTTTCTTTTTTTTTCCCATTTATTTCATATTATGGGGGCACAATATTGTTAGGGTTACATATATTGCCCCTGCCACCCCTCCCCCTATATTGTTTTCTTTTGGGATCGTCTCCTTTCCTTCTTGCAAATCCTCCAATGTTCAGCTCTATCTCCATCTCTATGAAGTGTCTCTTGACTACAACCCTGTCTTTATTTTTGTTTTTGATAGCTCATGGTTGGTACCTCAAAAGTAATTATTTACTGTTCTGTATATTTATAATATAATCTGTACAATTATTAATTTGTAAAGATAAAGATGATGTAGATTTCTTCTGTTTCCCACAGCACCTTTCATAATGCAACACATGTAGCAGTTACCTTAGTAAAATGACTACATTTTTAATAGGCCACCATCCAGTAGAATAAAAATCTGAGACAGCAGTTATTCTCCTGAGCCTGAATTCCAAAATTACTTTGTCTAAGAATTGGAATAAGCAACTTTCAAACTCATTGTTTCTATGCGCTGAGGTTTTTATTCCCCTATAAACCATAGTTTTAGAGGTCATAGGGTAATGTTTTACATATGAAAGGGAAATTTAAAGCAAGGAAAACTAAATAAATGTGTAGGGTCATATAGCATGTGACAAACAAGGGTCAAGATTACAACTTGGTGTTACAAATGAAATTCTGTTCTTAATAGGATCCTGTGCCCCACTCAGCAAGAAGCTATAATAATCTTTGTTTTCTTCTTGGTACATGTTTTCTGTCATTGACAATGCCAGTTTAATGGTTCCTAGAAGACAAAAGGGACCAGCAAAAGTGGAAACATGGTTCACTGTCAGCAAATGGCTTTAGAAATTCTTCGACTTTTTAAAAGAGAAAAAATTTTTGGAGCACAGACTGCCAGTACATTTTAAATTAAACTTCAAAATCATTGCTTGGTATATGTACAAGAGGCACTCAGATTAACTAATACGTGTATCTGTCAGGGTTCTCCAGAGAAACAGAACCAATAAGATACATATGTGTATATATACATATTGTATACATGTGGAAAGAGAGAGACACAAAGATTTAGCTTTATTTTAAAGAAGGCTCCAGGATTATAAGAATTGACAAGTCTGAAATTTGCAGGGCAGGCTGGCAACTCAGGCAGGATTAATTTGTTATAGTCTTGAGGCAGAATTCCTTCTTCTTTGGGAAACCTGTTTTTGCTCTTAAGACATTTAAATGATTGAAAGAGATCCAACCACATTATGGATGATAATCAGATTAATTGATTGGCCAGGCGCAGTGGCTCCACGTGTAATCCTAGCACTTTAGGAGGCTGAGCTGGGAAGATTGCTTGAGGCCAGGAGTTTGAGACCAGCCTGGACAACACAGTGAGACCCCATCTCTACAAAAATTAGCGGGGGGTGATGGTACGTGCCTGTATTCCCAGCTACTCAGGAGGCTGAGGCTGGAGGATCATTTAAGCCTAGGAGTTTGAGGTTGTAATGAGCCAAGATTGCGCCACTGTGCTCTAGTCCAGGCAAAACACTGAAACCCTGTCTACCAAAAAAAAAAAAAAAAAAAAACCAAACCACACAAAAAAACCCAAAACAATTGTAAATGTTAATCACATCTACGAAATGTCTTCCCAGCAAAACCTAGACAAGTATTTGACAAAACACATGGGTGCCATAACCTAGCCAAGTTGGCAAATAAAATTAAATACCATATTTGAGAAAGTGGGCTGTTTTTGGATTTGACTTTAAAATTTTTCTATACCACTCTATGTCCCACACAGAGTACTCTAAATGTCCCAGGCACCACATAAATCACAAAATCAGAGAAGATACGTTAAGAATCAATTACCAACTATAATCATGAGTAATAGTAATAAATCATTTTAAATTAAATATAGAAATACATCTTAGAAGCATATTTTCTATAAGCGTTCATTTGTTTTATTAAAAAAAATGTTGCATAATATTAAATCAAGAATCTAAGGGGGAATGTTACACAATCATAACAGTTAATAAAATGCTTCCCATCGCTGACCTGGCTTTTTAAATATGCAATAACAGTCACAGAATTGTCAAGTCATCTTTCCATAAAACTCTTAACTGCAATTCAAAAAGTGTTTCTGTATCAAAGGATGTAGTTTCTTTTCCCCAAAGAAGTTACATGCAAATACCCATACATTTCACACTATTTACAAGGTGACAAAGACAGATGAGAAGGAAATGACCTCAAAGAAGAGAGCCTTACCCTCCCCCAAAGTCCCAAATATGATTTAATGAGAGTCAGAGCTGCAGAATGCTAGGCTGAGTGGACCAAAGGGCTGACTTATAGCAATTCTTGGGATTTTATAAAGTCCTGGAGATGTTTGAAACTCTCATGGATATGAAAAAACCAAGCCAGTTAATAAACAGAATCATTTCCCAAGTCATGTTTTAAGTATAAAACATAATTTCTGATGATAAAGGTTACATGTAGGCCCTCATGTATTTGGCATTTTACTCAATAAAATGCTGGGAGCACTAGCTGGATAGAGGAGGAATGGGGCATGTGCATGTGGCAAGCAGCTTTTCCTATTTAGCAAGAGCAGATTGTGACTTGTGTTTTAGCATGATTTAGTGGCATCTTTGTAGAAAATGAGTGACCCTATAGAAGTGGGAATGGGAAGTGCAGTTAAGTGCAGTCACAATCTCAGTATCTAAATTGTTTATACAAGGTCTTGAAATCAAACTGTTTGAAAAGTTTTATTTGATAGCAGAAAATATCTACAATTGGAACTTTACAAAAGAAGTGCATGAGGGGAGAAATTCATACATAAGATTTTGCTGTTGAAATTGGTATGATCATCAACCATCAATTTAGGTTACAAGAACTCACACAAAACCGTATCTTTTTATGTAAAGGAAGTAGAAGCTATGTTAATCCCTTGACTAAAAAGTTTATTGAAACTCCTAACAGAAATTATACTGAATCTAAGACTAAAGAAAAAATTAAATTATTTCAAACTGTAGTAATATATAAACATATTTAAACAGATGAAAAACAATTATCTCAATAACCTGACAAATTATTTTCATCAAATCAAGCCCATGATGTCTACAATATTCATTTACACTATGGCTTTTTATCTCATAGTTCAGTTTTAAAAATTATGTAAAAATCTGCATATAACAATAGATGTTGACAGTAACTGTTATCATAGGGTATATGTCTCCTTCTCGCTCTGTGTATCCACTTGATTCAGTCATGTGTTCAATCGATGTCAAAGATTTTGTTTCTTACCTGACAGTGGAGGGCAAGACCTACCAGAATAACCCAAATATAGGACCAGGAAGGATCAGCCTACCTCATTGTTTCTAAAGCATCAACGGCTTTGCAGTCATTCGAAATACTAACACCAACACTTTCCATGGGCCAAAAAAGAGGCACTAAGAGTTTTGGGAAATACCCAAGAATTGTGATCAGTGTCTACAGCATAGTGTACAAGCATAAAATAGTTAATATTTTAACAAAGTATAAAAAATACTGTTTTTTTTTATTTAAAAGGGGAAAGCAGACAACTTCCCACTAGTAGAAAAAAAACAATAGTGTTCAGTTTCCAGTTTAAATGCATTTATGAATAGGAAGATGTGATCCCCATTAATTAAATATAAAAGAGTCCAGAAGAAATTATGACCTTAATGTACAGGAATAACAATATGTCTCTATCAAATTAAATTTAGTCTATGATTAAATACAACGTTCTCTCTCTCCATATATATATATATACACACACCCCCACACACAGACACTCATAGTACCTTTATGGAAGTCTCTAAAATGGTCACAGTAGCTTATATAGTGTTGATAAAGGTAAAAATGTATAAGCTAAGAGTATAGGTAAAACACCTTTTACAGCTTACTGATACCTTCTATGAGTTAAATAGCTTAAATTCTTCAAGTTTGAATTTTGATTTTTGAAAGCACTGTGCTTTGGCATTCAAACCTCCATGAAATCTTAGTTTTTCAAAATAAGGAATATCGGTAGAGAACATCAAACATGTGAGAGAAAAAAACTTCTGATGTGTAACACCAAAACTGTCCCATGTTTAACCAGTGGTTTTTAACCCATTCCTGGTGAAATCTACCTTCTTGGAGGTTAGAGGTGAGTTAAAAGGCTTTGAATGAAAATTTATTTTATAAGTGCTCATTTTAAAACTTAATAAAAATGCACATTTTAATGTGTTACATACACTATTTTACCACACTGTAGACTGCTTATGTATTAACTTCCAGCACAATTTATCTTTGTATAGACCTTGGAATACAACTTTAGCTATCTCTAATTAAAGAATCTCCTGAGATAAGTGTTTAAAACCTGTTATTATTTATACTTATATTTGTATGAATCAAAATTTTTTTGAAAGTATGCAAATAAAACAAGGCATAGAAATAAATTGGCTGCTGGTTTCCTCATCTATAACTCCACATTTGTATTACTCAGAAATAAGTCAGAAATCGTATTATGCTTAGTAATGGACCAAAGTAAATAAATGTGAATGTAAACTAAAATACATTTATGCTAATAAAATGAACTTTTCAGGCTTTATGTATAGGGGTTACATACAACATTTTACTTAAAAAAGGATTCTAATGCTAAAGAAAAGGTTTAGAAAATACCACTGTATAAGAAACTGTCTTTCAACTTACATCATTAATACAATGTTTAATGTGATTCAGTTTTCTCAAGCAAACTGCCTTCCTAACACATTTCCATTCTTGAATTACTCAGAATGGCAATATTTCTAAGTTAGAGTGATCTTCACAAATGCTGAGTAACTTATAAAAATTTAAGAAGAAATTATACTAAAAACATTCATAATTGCTTAAGACCCCCTCCGATGGGCAGCTTTAAAGAAAGATGTTTATTTTTGAATTAATTATACATTATTGTGTTTTAAATCTCAAAATATATTCATCCTCCAGGTAACACAATTTAGTATCTTTATGTATCAACTGTGTTGTGTGTTTTGATAGTTGCCTTTATTCAAAGGATGTGTTCTGTAAAATTTGGACTCAGTCAAAAGGCTGCACTCTAGGATCCAGAAGGCCACATGTGGCCCCCAGGCCGCAGGTTCCCCACCTCTGGTTTAATAAGCACATTTCAATGATTTTAGATTTTGTTTTGTGATTTCATTATAAAACAGCTTGCACACCAAACTCAAACAATCTTTTTTTTATTTAAAAATTCACCTCAAAATTCACTTCTGGGTTTTAGTTTTTGTTTAAAAAGAAACAGACATTTAGAAGCATCACATGTTACTAGCCTACAGTTCATCTTATTATGAACATTTTTAGTTCGTGGATTGGGGAAATAAACCTAGTACATTGATTAGGCACAGTACTATGGCCAACAGGCCAGAAATCAGGACACATCTGTGTACTCAGGCAACAGTTAGAGGTTGGAATGGCGGGAGTTATGCCTTAGCTATGGGTACTCCTATATCTGCCCCCTCCTAAATCTGTTAGTAAGTCTCACATCAATATGTAAGAGATTGTATGTAACTTGATTAAAAAATAAGCAAACAACTTCCTAAATTGTGTTGCAAAGCCAAGACAGATGAATAGAACTGTAGCCTCACTATAATTTGTGGTCTTGCTATACATATCACAGGGCATGTGTAGCATGTTACAGGTGAGAAAGAATTATACCCTCCCTCTGGTGGTTTCAGAAATTTGGTTGGAAGGGGTCCATGAGTATAAGATTTCACATTACAGCAAGGCTCCAATAGTTCTTGAATTGGGGTAGTGAATATAAATCACAGTACAAAACTTTTAATTATTTTATGGGAAAAGCAACAGGTGCTACATATGAGAATCACTTATATAACATCTATTTTTTAAAAAAAATGCAGATATAAAATAGTAATTGCATAGGGATTTAAATATAAGGCCAAGAAGAATATTAAGTAAAAAAAAAAATCATAGAAAGGGCACTATGGTGTCAAAAGATAGGATTTCATTCTCAGAGTAATAAATCTGAATTACTGACTAACTAAAAATCACAGTATGTTGCTATAACTAACAGTGAATGTCAACTGTTTCATTAATTCCAAACTGGAAACCAATATTAGGACTAACAAGAACACAACCAATGCTCATTGTCTAACCTGATCAGTGTGTTAGCACATCAGTGCCTGGTACGTACCTGATTATTTATCTACCTTTTGCAAATAACATTTAATACATGTTAACAAGTACAAGAGCACATCATTGCTAAAGGCCATCAATGATTTGCAGGCTTACTTGATAGTGTAAATTATTCAGTCTTTCAAAGGCGCGAGATCCTACCCAGCAGAATCTTCACTCAATGAACCAAAAATGCTGTCATTATCAAAATATAACAAAGTTCCACCATTAAAAACTAAATGCACATAAATCAGAGAACTAGGTCCTGACACTGGTACATACATTATCCTCAGCATTTTGGAAGGCAATGAATGATGAGTCCAACTATACTCTGTAGTTTAACCTAATGGTTACCACCTGAAGCTTCCCGTGGAAAGCTAACCTGTGAATCCACCTCTCATTTTAATGTTAGACTGTAGTTTATACAGCAATTTCCAAATCTAAAAGTAGCTTAGTTAACTTAGTACTGTTATATAAGGTAGTGTGAAGAAAAACAAGAACTCCCAAAGGAATTATGTTAATGTACACTGGGAATACCCAAAACAAGGTTTTAAATGAAAAAGTGCATAAATACAGTAATACTACAAGTGTGTTAACTATAGAACAAATGTTTCCCTGGGAGCTAAACAATACTATTGTCCCACATTATTTACATGTTATGAATTGTTCAGATACCACAAAGCACCATATTTAAGTCTAAATTGCTTGATTATGCCTGAAAGGTCCTTTGACTTCAACTCTACTCATCTGAGGATCTACCTAGAGTAGAAGTGTCAAGTCATCTTCAGACAAGATTTATCTGTACAATTCAGTTCTCTTTTGTTCCTAAGTGGCAAAGCAGTATTTTCATTTCACACCCTTGGTTGGTGTTTCCGACTCTGTGGACTGCCTCCCATCCGTCCAGGCTTCCCGGGTGCTCTTTAGAGCCAGGGTCTTCTGTTGGTCAACCACAACATAATCCACTCTCTCGTCTGCTACGCTGCTGCCTGAGCCACTGCTCTTTTGCTAGAATACAAAGGAAAAAAAACATGAAGTCCCCCATACCATGGAGTGTTTCTGAGTGACATTCAGTCTTAAAACACAGACACATATGCACTGTGAATGTTCTTGAAATTCTATAAGGTCACAAAAAAATAACATTAATTACCAAATTAATGCTCTAAATCTAGATCTAGAATTCAAATTAATGCTCCCATCACAGATGATATTCATAAAATCATGGATACCAGATACTTGGTTTATCTTTAGATGAACAGTCAATACATAGCCTGATTCTCTCTTTAGCTTAATTAAGCCTTTCTTCCAAGCCCTGAGAACAAATATCAATGTTTACTTTCTGAGCTAAGAAATGTTTTCTGAAAAGCAGTACTTCAAGAACGACAAACTATATAGGCTCATGCCCTCTTACTCCTAAAATCTAATTAGATACTAGAGAAGTTAAAACAAATATAATTATTAATGCATAGTGAAAGGCTTACTAAAAAGTAAGGGAAATACCTAAGTTGTAAGAGAAATGGAGGGAGTGGTAGGCTTCTAAATAGTAAAGGCAGAAGCTGGTAAACAGGTAAGAAAATGTAGATAAATATTTATATCCTATCATAAGCAATATATTAACAAGAGTAATAATACTGTCTAATTTGTGGGTTTAACAAAAAAATTAAAATTTAGGACAAAATTAGCATATAATTTGAGCTATCATTTTAAAGAGAGTGAAGCCGTTAGTTAACTTCAGAATTTGTTAAATAACTATTTCAATGGTAACCACTAAAAGAGTAGAAAGTATACAACTTCCATACTATCAGAAAGGAAAAAATAAATTTATCAGTCTCCATAACTTTGTTACTTTGTGATTTACGAAATGCTATTAAGTGACAGACTCTACTAAATTTAAATTAAACATAACTAATAAAATTCCCCCAAAGGAGATGATTCTTCAGGTTTGTAAGTGTGAATATTTATAGAACAGGGTTTCCCTTACCTTACGTGGTGGAGTGGATTTTCCAGAATCTAAATCTAGATCTAGGTATTCCACTTGTTTGTCTCCTTTGGGCTTGACCATTGGACTGTTTCCTCCATCGAGACTATTACTGCCAAAGAGATTCTGAAAGTATAATACAATAAAATCAGTGGTAGAACATTCACAAGACATACTGTTCGTCTTGCTTGCCATCTACTGAAGACTAAGTATTTGTTTTTTTTAATTATTTACCCAGAGCCACGCTCAAGTCTTGAACAAGTGGACTCCCTAAGTATTTAAGAGGGCATAGCTTGAAGAAATGTCTTCTTAGAAAATAACCTTTTAGGATTGAAAGAAAATAAATGATATTTTAAAAACTGATTAAAACCTAGTTTAGAGCAAGCTAAAGGCAATTTCAAAGTTAAACTTGGTTCAAACTAAGACATCAAACTATGATATCTCAACCTGAACATTATTAAAATTATATCTGCAGTCAATTACAATTTTACTCTACAGGCTTCTTATACTCTTTGCTTTCAAGTTAAATTTTAAAACAACTTTCTACATTTTATTTAAAGGCTTTCACCCTAAAAAAGCTTAGAATAAGTAAGTTAACTAACAGCTATGAACACATGACTCTCTTGGCAAAGTCTACTTTGTTTCAATCATCTAGACTTTTTACCATTTAATTTCCCCTTCCTTCTCTTAGCCTGATCTCTTCCTTGCTAAAAGGAATTGTGCAATAGGACTACTCTCTAAAAAAAAGAGAAAGATAAGGAGATAGATGACAGCAGTAAACAACAAGAACAAAAGAGCTTGAGGTGGAAAAATAAAAAAGAAATAGGTTAGCAGAAACTTGAACACCAATGCTAAATGAAAGAAAAGGATGGCGTGAACCCATGTATGTCCCTATATATGCCCCCTACTCTACAACAGTTTTCTACATGTGCTACAACAAATGACTTGTTTCCATGCCTTACTGCTTTTAAGCTCATCTGGAAATGTTTCTGACTTCTCACATGCAAGACTGTATATTACTCATTAGGGACTTTCATTCCTTGTACTCTCTACCATGTTGATAACATTAATGTTCATACATTATCTCATATTTGAGGGGAAAAACACGATTTAATGAACTTAAAAATTTATATGTTATGATGAACAAAACAATTTGAAAGTTACATACATTTGGTTCTGTTATTCTTTTATATTGCTATTTCATTTCCTTTTGTTCAAGTTAAACAGAGAAATCTGTGCTTTAGGGAAAAGATATGTGCTAGAAAAACGTGAAGTCTATTCCCTCATTTAGTAGTGGGTTGCTGACAGCAGGTATGAAAACTTTTGTGAATTAGAAAAAGGTGCCTGCCTCTTCCTGTAGGGTGACACAGCTCTGTGCCAGGGCCCACAGCTTGGTTAGCTGCATGTGGCCTACATTTCATATAACCAGGTATGCAGTATGTTTGTGTAGTCAACAACCTGCACAACTGAACTGTGATGGTCCTATTTGGAGGAGATTTTTAAACCAAATTTATCAACTATTGCTAAGAAAACATTAAATCAATTCATACAAATAGCAATGCCCCTTTTTTCAAATTCATAAAGAAACTGAAATCATCATGAAATTTTTTTCCCTGAATGACTGTATATTTAACTCTCACATAAAAAAAAAAAATCAGGCATAAAAGTATATAAAATTCCATATTCAAATGTGATCAATGAAAGAACACATCCTGCATTTCCCTAACTAGAAACGTCTAGAAATGTTGATAGTATTATAAGGCTATAAAAGAAACCCAGAAATTCATGACCTGCACACTTAATCCCAGTAAGTTACTCCTAAAGAGAATTTCTCAGAATTGCTAAAATGTTTTATTTCTAATTATTACTAGAACTGGAAAATTTTTCATCTTTAAGTATTGTTAAAATTTGTGTGTCTCCAAGGAAGTCTATTTGCTCTTGATTTAATCTCTACTAGAACAGCCTGTGTCTATGTTCCAGCCTTTCACCCAGTATTTTCCCAAAACAGTTTAGAAGAGCTCTAAGACTCCAGGAGTTATTATAAGAATTCTATGAATTAAATAATAAAATAAAAATTGTAGCACTTTTTTCTAAAATTCTTTAAAAAAATGTAAAATCATTTAACATAGTTTTGTTGTTATTACATAAGAACATGCATGTTTTTAATAATGGTGTGTCATCATTTGAATTTCAGGTGACATATTAAGGGTTCACTTGATGAATGCATGGACTTTTGACCTTCATACAAACGTATGGACAGCATCAACAATTCAATGTTTCATTATCCACCGTCTACCTCACGATCACTATTCTGGAAAATGTACTGTGCTTCAAAATTTCACTTCATATAAATTAATCTTCATTGCATATATAAACAAGATTTGATCTGATCCTGTCTCAACTTTCTAAGACTATTTTTTTTACTGACGTCATCAACCCAAGAAAATATTACATCGTGTGAACTTCTCTGATATTCCATCAGTGCATTAATCTGCAGTCCCCAACTCCTGGGCCCTAGTCCATGGAAAAATTGTCTTCCCTGAAGCCGGTCCCTGGTACCAAAAAGATTGGGGACTGCTGCATTAAGTTCCAAAATTGAAAAAGTTTGATAAATATTGCTGTAACTATCACTTTCTTTTCTAAGGAAAAGTTGTATGGAATATGATCAGCCCTGTGGTCAGTAGCATGAAGAGATGGAAATGGCACAGTTGACTTTTCTGTTATGTCTATGGATAGATATTTCCACGTGGGCCACTTCTGCTTACTGCTAACACTTAGGATCTAAGTACTTCAGAAATTCACCAGATAGTGGTTAGACACCTCTACTAATAGGTAAAAGTACTTTTCTGGCTTAATGTCCTAAGGTCTAAAAAAATAATTTTGTATTTTCATTTCCTTTGACTTCTGGTTGTAATGTTCTTCTTTCTAATCTTTTCCCTTCACCTAACACTTACCCATGACAAATCACACTTTGAAATTCTCCTGTTATGTAATCTTTTCAAGGTTTTTATGGCTACTTACTATTCTGGACAAAAGGACAATTAGTACCTTAGAAAATACTCTACTTTTGTAATAAGAAAAAAGTTAATTCAACTACTTAAAAATTAGTGACAACATCTACTCTGATGTAATATTTAGGATTTACTGAGATTCTTACTAGAGTCTATTTACTATAATAACGAAAACAAATTCAGTTAACAATAATAAAAAATCACTGATCAAGCTGAAAATTAGTAAATACAAAAATAAAAGAATGAATAAAAATTGTCCTACCTTGAAAAAACAGTGAAAACGTTACTAATGTAGTTCATTGTATTCTAATTCAATGCTGACATAAATGTTTTAAATTATATTATTTATTTTTGAGTACTTTATAAATTTGAATTGCGTGTGTGTGTATATTTTATTTTTAGAGACTGGTCTTCCTATGTTGCCCAGGCCTTTAACTTGAGCTCAAATGATCCTTCTGCCTTAGCCTCCCATGTGGCTGGAACTACAAGTGCGTGCCACTGTGCCCAGTTAAATTTGATAATACTTTTAAGTTAACTAGTTTAAGCACCAAATCAAACTCTTCATATCACCTAATTATGTTCCCTGACATCATACAGTTGTGAGGAACCTTGGTTTCTCCTAAAAATCTATTAAGGATGAAAACACAAATTCATTGACAGAATCGGGCTTTATATTTTGTGTTTCTAAACAGGATTGTTTTAAAGAAAATAAAGCCACCAAAAGGTTACTCATTCTAAATTTTGACACTAGATATTTGCTTTACCCTGGCAGATACTGCCTGGTTGTCCCCCAAGACCTACTCTCCTCTCCCCCACATGAGTGGGATTTTTAGGTGGGCCAACTGTTCCACAGGAACTGCTATATAAACTATGAACAAGGTTTTCCTGGTTACACAGGGGCTCTGTTTTCCAGCCCCTTTTGTGGCTAAGCGCGGCCACACAGGCTAAGCTCTGGTTAATGGATGTATACAGCAGTTTATGAGGCAGATGGGCCATACCCTTTGCTGCTTTTCCCTTTCCTCCACCCTGGAGGTTGGAATGTGACTGTTGGCTGGAGCACCATCTTCCCCTATGAGCATGTTAGCCGTACCCAGGGAACAGCAGATCAGAAAGCTGGAAGAAGCCTGAATCCCTGAAGACTGCACAACAGAGCTGCCACGCCAGCCCTGGACTGACTATCTCTGGACTTTTACATGACAAAGAAATAGACTTCTCTCTTAAGTCACTGTTATTTATTTTCTGTTACTCAGAGGTGAACCTAGCCATAACTGATATCCTTATTTATCTACTAAAATTACAAATAACAGAGCAAGCAATAAATCTGACTTAAGGAAAGGTAAAAGTGACATATTAAACAAAAATTAAAATTGGTTTCCACCTGATTAGTGTACATTAAAATAAAAAAAATTTAAAAATTAAAAATTGGTTTGTATTCTTAAATATCTGAAGCATTTTCTGGCAACTACCTGGTTTCTGGTGAACAAAATGTCTGCTACGATTAGAAAATTCTTATGCCTTGTAGTGATATAACCAATCTGAAAGAAGTTATGTTTATAACAGGTCTTTAATCTTTAAGCCTATCTAAGGGTGTATTATCATCAAAAACATTCCGCATAAGATCATTTCACCACAAGAGTGCCATGAAACAGGTCTGGAGAACTGCATTATAAAATACTTTTCGTAAATTTTCTTGAAGAGTGTCAAAATTCAAGTACATGTTAAATGAAATATAAGTGAAAACTTTTATTCTTTTTATTTTTTAAAAATTAGAGATAGAGTCTTGTTATGTTGCCCAGACTGGCCTCGAGCTCCTGGGCTCAAGCAACCATTCTCTTGCCTCAGCCTCCCAAGTAGCTGGGACTACAGGCTTGGACCACTGCACCTGGCAACTTTTATGTTTCTTTAACTCATCTACAGTACATTTTGTCCCTTCATTGGCCTTAGACTTTATATTATTTTTTAAAAGCATTTTAAAAAGCTGTCTTATTGTTTTTCCTTAAGTATATAAAGAAAGATGTGAGGGTAAAACCTCTAAACAGAAAGAAAAGTTCTAGTTTGAATGATTTCAAAGGGCTTCTCAGAAAGGGAGAAGATGAAGACTTTACGTACTGGGTCTTCACTGGACAGGTTTGGGTTCATGGGAACATAATTCTCTTCGCTGTCATGCGAGTCACTGCTTGAGGTTGTGCTATGCACTGAATCTGGTCGGGGCGACATGGGAAACCTAGAGGAGCTAATAACAAAAATTATCATCACAAACATAAATCTTGACAAAAACTTCTAAAATTACTCCCAAAATAAAAATAAGACAGTTTGCATTCTTTCAGAAATATTCCTTTATGTTTACAATCATTTATTGTATACATGTATTATAACACAATTTGCTATACACAAACATACAGCTAATAATTATACCTGTACTATGAAAGCATATTTCTGCACGTCAAATTATCTTATGTAAAAACAAAATATTACCAGTGAGTTGGGCATAAATAGAAAGTCACAGACGTAAAATAAAAGATTTAAGAATTTCTATTTTTAAAAAATAGCTATATGTATACATAAAACACACATGTTCAACATAGGTTTTTAACTTCATAAACTCTTCTCATTTCCCTATTTCATTTCAATAAATCTCAATTAAGTAATCCCCTTCAAAAACTACCATTTTTTCCAGATTAGTAATTCTCAGAAACTTTTGGTTTTGTGAGCGCTTCTCACTTAAAAATCACTGCAAACTCCAAGGAAATTTCTGTATATGTGAGTTACAGCTATTGATATTTACCATACTAGAAATGAAAACTGAAATCTATCTATCTATCTATTTATAAGACAAGTTAAGTGCAGTAGTGAGTATCTATCTATCTATCTATCTATCTATCTATCTATCTATCTATCTATCTATCTATCTATCTATCTAAAGACTAGTCAAGTGCAGTAGTGAGAAGGGAGGAAAGTAGTAGATCCAGGAGTTCAATCTGTAACTGATTGTGAACCATCAAATAAGATAACTCACAACCTTCAGACCAACCAGAAATCTTTTTAAAACACAAGAGTAAACAAATACATGTTCTGTTAGCTGTCACAATAATATCATCACATACAGCCTTTGTAACACTCCACTACACACTCATAAGAGGAGAATGAAAAAGGTAAATAATATCTTAGTATCTTAATGAATGGTTTTAATTTTATAGAACCCCAAAAAGGGAGTATCCCCAGACTATGCAATGATAACCACTGTTCTAAATATTTTCTATGATAATTAACCTTATTCAAACAAACTATTAATACATGTTTTAAACAAAGGACTTACTCTCGAGCAAAACTCCTAGTGATGGGAGACCTAACTGGTGCTTGTAATTCTTCCCATTCTGGTAAAGGTTTTATTTCTAAGGGTGCTGGCTTGGCTGAAAAGAAAGAGAAAAAGAGGTTTTAGGGTACAGAACCTTGGAAAATAAGATCCTCTCAATATTATCTCAATTTGTATTTGATACAAATCTAAGACCAGCTAGTTTCACACAATGAAGTAAGGTTCATGGATGTTTCATGATTTTCTCAAGGTTACACACAGCTAAATAATTAGTGGCAAAAGCTAAATCAGATAATGTTTCATGATTGCTACCTCAAAGTCTAAAGCTCTATTTATTTATTACATCTTGCATCTTAATTTAAGTAAATATTTTATGTCTGTAACCTAAAGGAGAACAAGAAAGAGTAACAAACCAATTCCTTTATAGTTGCCTGACTTATACTTTTCATTATTTCATTAATCAATTCTTTCAGTAATTTAATCTTCAATATGGAAATTTAGTCATCTATATTAAAAATGTTCCTATTCTTCAATATTGAAGCATATAACCAAACATTTAAATGATGTGTAGGAAAAATTAAAAGCAAAACTTTGCTGAAACCAAAAATTGAAAAAAGAATTAATGATAAAATATTTTAAAATAATGCATGCCTGGTCTGGAAACAAAACAAAATACTAATTATATTTTGAGATCTAAGCTCTGGTCTGAGAAAAGGCCATAATTACTTTAAACAATTACCTTAAATTTTTAGCTTAATTTAACCACAGAATCCTTTGCCAAATTATGTAAAATTAAGCAAATGCAAATATTTTTATTAGCTTTATTTATAAGTGGTCTTTACTTATTTACCTTATAATTGTAGTAGAAAATTATTACAATAATATGTACCAGAGATCTTAGTCCTTTTCTTAAAGTTGAGACTGAGACATTTTTCAGAAATTTATGGACTGAGTAAAAAAACTAAAACAATACTATTTGTTAATATTCATTATACTTTAGGAGACTACTTAAATATATTAGATAAATATTTTAGTTATGTTTCATCCTGCCACTCTGAACAAAGCTTTTCATTTTTCTGGGTTTCCTTATAGTCTTGGTCTATATATGTGTAATTTTTAATCAACTATGTTATATTACCCTAACACTATAAAACAGATGCTCATTTTAAAGGGCTATACAGATTGAGGATCATAAGTATTTTTATCAACTCAAATATAATGAAGACTCAATTAATTTATTAAATTTGAGTTAAAACAATTTTGCTTGCCTATATACTTAAAATAGACATGTACAAAATATTGTGCTGACTGGAAGTATTTCTTTAACTCTTAACATTTTAGTTTTTTGATACCCAAAGTCTAATAGCAGTTTAGGTTAGGTGTCAATTTCTAAGTAATGGCACAATTAATCCTAGGAAGTGGTTCTTTATTCTGTCTCAGAACAGAAGACATATATTACATATGAAGACAGGAGACAACTGGAACTCCCAAACGGTTCATAAGTTTAAAGAAAACAATATATGTTGTCTAAAAAGCTAAATGAATAATGCAAAAGGACAAGACTGAATATCACATACTATCAAATATCTAACATGGCTGCTGTTAATGGTATAACAAGTAGACTCATGTATTATGGGAAGCATTCACTTTAGAAAGAAGTGCTGGGAAATTTTATTTACAACAGTAGTAGTATTTAAGGCTCTTCTTTTTTGCTTTTCACGAAAAAACATTATGAAATAAATAAATTCCCAATGCCCCATACAGCATGCGGTGCTAAAGTACATACCCTTTCTTCGTGTAGCAAAGTCACCTATGGTTTGTGAATCGGTTCGCTCTAAACCATGGGGTTTGGGTCTTAAAATTTTAGGACTTTGACCTAATTGGTAAAAAGAAGATGCTCTTAATATAATGTTATTTTTAAATTGGAAAATGGGTTCTGTAAAAAAGCAACAGAGCCCTGCACAGAAATGTTATGTCTCAAAAGCATAAACAAAAGTTTGTTTGTAGAGAATATTTCAATCTTGCTACATACATGCATGCTCAGCACAATGGAAAGGAGAAGTTACATGCAACAATGTAATAAGCAAAGGGTTATAAAAATAATAGGGTTTTAGTGGGATAACCAGCCTGAGTTAGTAGTGTCTTTATTTAGGGAAATGGAGGAAAAACAAGTACCATGTTAGTTTTTCTTCTAACATGCCTTAGAAAACTAGACCAATTAAAAAATTATAAAATCCCTCAGTCAGATCTCAAGAAAGCACAAAGGCCTATTTCCCTATAATATTACTCTTCTAATTTGGTAGAGATGCTTTTAAAACCTTAATCTGACTATTCCTGCCTCTCCAACCAAAATTGTTCTAGAGGAGCAGATGGCTATAATATTTGCTGATCCAAGACCAAAACCAAGACCAACATTTATTACTTTGCCTTGGACACTCAGTGGCTTCCCAATGACTTCATTTTACAAGAATCAGATGTTTGGATTCTGGTACTATTTATTGTCTATTTTCAATTTAACCACTTGAAAGCATAAATTCAGTTGCCATCACTTTCAGTCTCTGCCACAGATAAGTACATAACGCCCCATGAAGAGTATGAGGTTAATATCTAGCCGCCGGTCTCATCGTTTTTCCCATTTAGAAGTCTGGATGCCAAAGTACCAGTAACATTAGAATCAGTAATTTAAGCCACTCTATTCTTAATATCACCAAATGTTTTTCTTAGAATTTACAAAGTTGACATCTATTAGATGGCAAAATTAGAATTTGCTGGTTAAACACTGATATCTAGGTACCTTATCTACTGAAATCTAAGCTTCTTAAAATGTGATTCTCTGGGTTATAAAAAATCAAAATGCTCTCATTAATCAATTTTCTAAGACAATTAATGCATCAAGTTTATTCAGAAATGAGGCAGGCTGAGTTTAAAATGTGAGTATGAAAATTTGGGGCAATGGCAGGGCATGGTGGTTCACGCCTGTAATCCTAGCACTGTGGGAGGCCGAGGTGGGAGAATTGCTTGAGCTCAGGAGCTCAAGACCAGGAGCTCAACAAGAGTGAGACCCTGTCTCTACTAAAAATAGAAAGAATTAGCCAGGCGTGATGGTGCAAGACTGTAGTCCCAGCTACTCGGGAGGCTGAGGCAAGAGGATCGCTTAAACCCAGGAGTTTGAGGTTGCTATGAGCTAGGCTGAAGCCACAGCACTGTAACCTGGGCAACAGAATGGGACTCTGCTTCAAAAACAAAACAAAACAAAACAAAACAAAACAAAACAAAACAAAACAAAACAAAACAAAACAAAAAAAACTGGGGGCATGATCCACTGTCTAACCCTGAGGCATCCAGAGGTATCCTGCCCACGCTGGCAGGACACTTTACTAAAACAAAAGAGGATACCAGCTTTTTAAACTTCCCCAAATAATACACCACCTTTCAAAAATAGTATAAGGCAGAGGGCTAAGTTTAACTACTAGAAAAATACATTTATTTTTAGAGCTGAAAGGCCCTTACAGACCAAATTCAGCTTCTTCATTTTATGGATGAGAGACCCTGGGAGAATGACGAGGTTAAGTTCATCTCCCACATTCATCAGTGGCAGAATAAAGGCTTCCTCTAGCCTGCCAGCTGCTGGCGGGACACTCCAGCACTATGCCACATTGCCTTTACCTCTATTTCCATTTTGAGGAAGATTTCAGTTTTGAACTCTTCAGTGCAGTCTGAGATCTGATGGCTATCTCAAACTGTGCTACACAGTCACAGACTAAGAAACTTGACTAGAGAAAGGGAGAAGTGTGCTAATTACTACATTCATGAGTACAGCTGGTGTTACTCTGAACACATGGATGTGGCTAGGGATACCTACAGCTACCTGAATGGCACATACAGCCGCTGTAACCTGGTCATTATTAAATAACCATTGCCCAGGTTATTACTAAACCTCACATTGGTGATGTGAGGTTTAATAATTACAAAATGCTCTTAGAACTACTTCTGGTTTGCTGGTCTGTCCGCCATCCTCCTTTTCTGAAAGACCCATTTTCAATAGCTCTTCGCCTCCTTTCTGTGTTTTTCCATTGTGATATCTCTCAATGGACACTCTGCATTTCTCAACTTTGAGCCCTAAAAGTATCTTATCTATGCTTGAGGTTAAATAATCAAGGTCACGTGACTGCTAAATCTACCTAGTTTCGCTTTCTCACTTTTTCTCTAGTCCTACACTTCAACTGCCTGACAGGTCTCTTCTGATTTGCCTTCCACTACTTGAAACTAATCATTTCTCTTCCAAACCAACATGATTTTCCACGTCCAACCGCCATCGAGATGATACCATTTCCTGGATCCTTAGGCACAGAACCTCAGGGTCATAGTTTAGTAGTCCATATCTCCTTCGACCATCTGTATTTGGTCTTAAAATGCTAATGACTTGCCAATATGGCAACAAAAATGACAAGCACTAAAATGGAAGGAGCAGGTAGTTGAGGCCAATCAGAAAGTAAGCTAAGCCTGTACAAATGCTGGCTTGATGTGTACAGTCCTGAAGGATCCCAAACTTGCGAAAAATAACAAGGAGGCTCTTCTTAAAACCTATGCTTCAGAAAAGAAAAACAAGAACAAATCTACTCTTTGGGAAGGAAGAGAAAGTAATCTTAATAGATAAAAAAGAAAACCTCAACTCCTATTTTGCTTTAGTTTTCTTCAGCTAGGAGAAAATGGTCGTCAAACCGTAAAGATACAGGAAACGATAAGCAGCATTAAAGGCCCCGTTATGTGAGAACAGTGTGCGAAAGTTGGTTACACAAATTGGGATATTCTTGTCATCCCCAACTAATTCAGAATGAGGCAAAAAGCACTTGAGGGTAGCACCTACTCCCCAATTAAATTTGTCACAAGCCCAGCTGCTGAAATGTCCTGCTATCACCCTAAGACCAGTTTTATCTGGTAGCTGCTAAAACAACCTGCTGTGACTCTAAGACTAGTTTTACCTACAACCGTCATTCACCAATCAGAGCTTGCCAGCTCCTCAAAGCTTCTCTAGTGCCAATGAGCTTTCTATCAAAACAACACCTGACAGTTTTCTTTCTAATAAAACCCCAACCTTCTCCTTGTTCTTCAGACCCAACAAAGACCACCTAGTCTGTGTGTATGCACTGAATTGCAATTCTTGCTTCCCAAATAAAGTGTTAAATTGAGAGATTCGTCTCTATGTTTTTATCTTGACAAGTGCAATGTACTAATAGTACCCAGCTACTTTTAAGTTCTATTCAATGAATTATATTGCAAGGAGGCAAATGATTTTACAGGTAAGAACACAGAATTCATATCGGCAGTTTGGAGAAGTCATGGAGAACATGCAAATGCCACAAGAATAAGCTACAGATGCTTTTTATATCACATTCTTTTCCTGAATTGCTGTCTGCTCTGGTAAGACCATTTCCTTACCTATTTCTCACATATAACTTTAAAATTCCAGCCCTTTCTCTATTCTTTCGCCATCAATATCATCACTGTTTTATCAGTGTCTTTAATTTCTATACAAAGCTCAAGTTATAATAAATTTCCTTCTAAGACTACCCTGAGAAATACCACTACACTTAATTATTAATAATGACCATTTATTGAGGACTTCTTATGTGCTAGACACTTTAAAAATTCGTTTAATACTCCCAACAACCTTGTAAGGAAGGTACAATTATAATAAATTTTAATAATTTTATAACTGAATAGGTTAGAGCTTAGAGAGGTTAAGTAACTTGCCCAGAGTCACACAGATGATGATTGGCAGAGCCAGAAGTTAAATCCTTTGAATCCAGAGAGAGGGTTCATGCTCTTATTCCTATATCCTTATTTCAATCTGGAATCCTTACTATAATTATTCTCAAAAGAACATTTGTATTGTTTTGCTTTTGTGTACAGTAAATCCTCCCAATTTTTTTTTTTTTTTTTGAGACAGAGTCTCACTTTGTTGCTGAGGCTAGAGTGAGTGCCGTGGCATCAGCCTAGCTCACAGCAACCTCAAATTCCTTGGCTCAAGCGATCCTACCGTCTCAGCCTCCCGAGTAGCTGGGACTACAGGCATGTGCCACCATGCCCGGCTAATTTTACATATATATACATTAGTTGGCCAATTAATTTCTTTCTATTTATAGTAGAGACGGGGTCTTGCTCTTGCTCAGGCTGGTTTCAAACTCCTGCCCTCGAGCAATCCAACCGCCTTGGCCTCCCAGAGTGCTAGGATTACAGGCGTGAGCCACCGCGCCCGGCCCCAACTAAATTTTAACATTAAACAAACATTCAAATAGATACATAAAATCATTACATTTCTCTGAAAGCTTTACCTCCATGACCAGTAATTTCTTGTTGGTCTCAATGAGAACAAGTATAAGTGATTGTAATGATGCATACAATGTGATGTAAATAATTTTCAAAGAAGTCACATGATCCAAGGAGACTTTTTTGTAGGAGCCAAAAGCAGATGCATGGGATCAGTAAACCTTTCACTCAAATTATTCCTCATCTCTATTATCTTTTTTCCAGGATGAGTACTAAAAAGATACTCTTTTTCTAGAGCATTCCTTGGTTTTCTTGATAGAAAAATATGGTATAATTATATTGAGATTTTAAAAGTGCATTGATAAAATTTATACATATTTTCTATTCTATGCAAAGCTTAGGTTGATTTTAGGGCAAAAGCCACAACATAGAAAAGTTGAACTGAGGCACTTTATTTCTCTATGTCCTTTCAAACTCAATTCAACATTTACGTTACAAACAGAAATGAAAGTCATACTCAAACAATAGCCCAAATTCGCTTATGAGGAGTGAAGGGAGAAAAGTAAGTCCAAGTTGGAAGTAGGCCTGTCTAAGCTTTTTCTTCTC